TTATTTCTGTGTTACAACCATTCGAATAATCACAGAAGTACTGGGATAAAAGTTTATAGTTCGGATATAAACACCGTTGTCTACAGTAGCGATCAAAATAATAATAATAATCAAAATAGAGTAAATCACCTTTTGGAAAAGGGCGACGCTTCAAATAAAGATTGTATCAATTACAACGCAACGCCAGCAGGTGGAGACAAGTGACTTAGAAACAGATTAATTCAAAAACGTTGTTTAATTCAGGAATGAAACAAGTGAGGTCTTTATGAGCGAGTCATTGAATCATTTGTTCAACTTAATTTTTTTTAACAGTTCGTTGAATATTGAATAGATTTTATAAATAGACTGCAGCCATTTTTACTAGAAACTCTAGTAAATTAAATGTCATTTTGTTTAGTTGTCTCCAACTATGGTGGGAGAATAGTGATCTCTATTTTAAAAATAAAATTGTTATTCTCCATTTTTTAATTTATCCAGAATCGCGCAGCTCTATTTGGTCATTTATCCACATACAAATAAATAAATGACTTTAATTTTAGATAAAGCATCAAAGATGTGGTCAGTGAGGTTCAGCATCCAGAACGTATACATTTATTTTGTATTCTACAAATGCATTTCATATTTATGTGCTTAATAAAAATACCCTGCAGTACTATTGTATTGTATACTAAACTGGCATACCTAAAATTGCTAAATCGGAACAACTAATTTTGTGCTTAATGCACTTTAATTAGGGATGTAACGATTAACTGCGAGCCGGTTGAAAATCGATTTAAATATGTGACGATTCAAATCGGTTGAGATGCTAAACAAATCGCGATTCATTTAGGGGTAGTTTGTGGTTGACTCTTAACTTTTATAAAGAATATCTCTTTGGATTTGAGACTTTAGTCTTTGCAACTTTACAGATCTTCTTTATGCACCAAGAGCTTGTAACACTCCAAAGAGAAAGGAAACATTGAAATCGCATCATATGACCCCTTTAAGTGCGTTGCCGGTTTCGTTGCTCGGTGAAGTCGCGCAGGTAAAGTCGCAGGTCTTTACACTCATTGGTCTTCACACGAGGAGGGCTGAACATTTCCACGTCAGCGCAGAGAGATCAAATAAATACACAGTCTAAGACACTAAAGTGAAAACAGCTGTGGCCGCCTTCTAATTAGCACAGCCAATAGCCTATAGCAGGGCAATTGCTCAAATCCAAACTACAGTTCGCACTTCAGTGCAGGAAGGGAGCAATGCAAATAACACAGGCTCCTTCTTAGCCGAGGGCAATTATTATAATTGCCAGTAAGTGCAATCAAAAATACAAAGTAGAAATAGGTAGAAAACTAAATATTCCTTCCTAGCAGCAAGTAATAATTTAAACAACAGATCTATAACCTCTTCTGTTGACTAATCAGCTGTGACGTGACGAGACTCATGAAGATCAGCCGTGACTTGACTCATGAAAGACAGCAGTAGCGTATTCCAATCTTAGTAAATTTTTAGTTGACAATTTGATCTTTCAAAACCTAGATTACATTTTGTGATACAAGACAAATTCAGAGGTCTCTCTCAACTTGTTATATTTTACAGTTTTTCAGTTGTTATCGAGTTTGCAGGCTTTGTATACACCCCTCGAATGCCTGAAACCACAGAGCCCACTACAAAAATCCCACACTGTAAAAAAATCTGTCTGTTCGGGTATTTTTTAAAGACATCGACATAAATACGTAACAAAGTCTGCATTTGACACTTCATGTTGCCTCAACATATAGGCCAGCCCTAATAAAGGCTGTTAATGTCTTGCAAACATAAACACTGTAAATCTTATCAGAACTCATTTTTATCAAGCCAGGTTCTCTATTTTAGTGTCATTACTTTATTGTGGTGGCAGTGTTTTAAATGACTTAAAATGATGCAAAGAAAAACACAGGCATATAACACTCATTGAAAAAGAGTGTGCGTGAGGCGCCTGTGCGATCGGATGGATTAAATCAAATAAAGATACAAAGAAAATAAATAAAATGCATTGAGTGTTACAAAAACGAGTGTATAGCCTATACTTGTTGCACAGTTTTTTTCCCTTATGTTAGGCGCCTTTGTGATCGGATGGATTAAATCAAATAAAGATACAAAGAAAATAAATAAAATGCATTAAGAGTGTTACAAAAATGAGTGTATAGCCTATACTTGTTGCACAGTTTTTTTCCCTTATGTTTATCTGTTAATTATATTATAGCCTATCATATATTTTGTGTGATCCTATTTATTTTATGCCTTTTATAGACTTAATTTCTGTTTTTATCCTTTCACAGAAGCGCTGCATGATGCGACGATTGAATCCTCATGGTCTTGTTTACGCTGCTATTTGCGCATATAAAGCTAAAGCCCTGTATAAAACCCAAAAAAAAGACATTCTAATCTTTAACGATCGACTAATGAGCTTCGTTTGACGGTCAGGAAAATAAAAATGAACAAAACGCTGTCATTCTACAATTCTCCACCATTTTTACTATGCTGCACGCAAGTTCAGGTAACTCAAAAACTTACACGTACACGAGCTGAGACCAGACGTGAGATTTGATCGTAGCCACCGCTCACGTCCATATTGATAAATTCCGAATTTTGCTTTGAAACGACCGTATGCCCAATTTTCTGTCGTACGTTCGTTTTGTAAATGAGGCCCAATGACTGTTCTTCCTCATCTCTTAAATAAATTCAGAATTGGTTTGACAGCTTGATGAGAGTCTTTGTTATTCTTCATTGCGTCTTACCCCTAGCGAATGTAATAAATTTGGGGCTCGTCCCTTTTCTACTTTTCCTATTAGGTCATATCCTTATAATTAGTCTACTTTGCTGATAAGCATTCTTTACTTCTTTCTTCTCTGATTTGCGGTTCTTGTGTCAGGGGGATAGTAATTACGGAGTTTAGTGTTGAGGCTTTTAAGCAATCTCCTACGATAGAGGCTTTACGTAAATCTGATCTCATTCTTGTTGCAGATTACTACAGTATACCTATTATATCTAAAGTGGCCACTAAGCAAGCAATTCGTGATGCGGTGCAGGAGAATTTGGTGTCAATTGGGGTTTTGAAAATAGAATCGGAGTTACAGGATGTGGATGTTGCTGTGTCCACTGAAGACGAGTTGGGAGCTGGGGCTTCTGCTAAGGTGTCGGCTGCAGATGGAGGCTTTACTCCACATCCGCTCGTAGGTCTTAATACATAAGACCTCAAATTGGCTATACAACTCAAAGAGCTCGATTTACAAGTCAAGCGGCAAGAACAGGACATGCAGCTTTTGCGCGTGAAGCGGAGTGAACTAGAGGCTTAGGATGTACACTGTTTGCCGGCCACGCCGGTAAGTGTGTCACAAACCCCAGTATCTGTGCCTAGCGCACCTACCATTGTCTCTCCTGCTCCACATTCTTTAAGTCCTGGTGATTTTGATATTAGTAGGCAGGTTCGTTTAGTCCCCGCATTTAGAGAAACTGAGATCAATTCTTATTTGAATGCATTTGAGCGTATAGCTGTTGCTTTTTAGTGGCCAAGGGAGATCTGGTCTCTTGCTCCAATGCAAATTGACTGGTAAAGCGCAGGAGGTCTGTGAGTCTTTGTCTATCGAGGAGCGTCTAGATTATGATGTCTTGAAGGCCACGTTCTGAAAGCCTATGAGTTAGTCCCTGAGGTTTACCGTCAAAAATTCCGTAATCATGTCAGAGCTGCCAATCAAACATTTGAGTTTGCCTGTGAAAAGGGAACTTTGTTTGATAAGCGGTGTCAGTCCAGCAAAATAACTAATTTCGAACAACTTCGTGAGCTTGTGTTGTTGGAAGATTTTAAGAACATGTTGCCGGATAAGATTGTTGTACATCAGAATGAGCAAAAGGTAAATTGTTATATCTTATCTGTTATATAACACGAATAATACGCTGAGATGAGTGCTGTGTCAACTCTCTTCTAATTTACCGAGAACTCTGAAGTCTTTTTCTTCATTGATAACGTAACATACACACGGGAGTGATCTTGAGCACCTCCTAGTGCACTGAAACATTAAGCGCATACATCACATTTCCCTCCCCACTTAGTGTTGTTGTAATCATTTCAGTAACAATGTTACATACACTTAACATAGACAAAGATGGATCTCTTTCTTTTCCTTTTACATGTCCACATATACATAGATATAGGTACACGTAGATTCGCCTGTATAATGTAACGCTTATAGTAATACCCCAAATATAGAACAACTATGATAGAATGGTAGAATCATTCAATGAACTGTGTTGTGCTTATTCTTTAAATTAAACTCAGCACCATGACTGTTAACATACAACCAATGGAATTGGTTTATACCATCAAGGTAAGCCTTATGGGCTAAACCGTACTGGAGGCTTGATTGTACGTTCAGGATAGCGCTTAGCCTCCTGTTGGAATTTGATCAAGACTAGGACGTGATGTCTCTCCTGAGATCGGATGTTCACACAAATCTGTCAGATTCCCCTCAGGAACTTCAATGGTCTCTGGACCAATCCCATCCTCGTCGCCAATATGTTATATCTTATCTGTTATATAACATGAAGAATACGCTGAGATGAGTGCTGTGTCAACTCTCTTCTAATTTACCGAGAACTCTGAAGTCTTTTTCTTCATTGATAACGTAACATACACACGGGAGTGATCTTGAGCACCTCCTAGTGCACTGAAACATTAAGCGCATACATCACATTTCCCTCCCCACTTAGTGTTGTTGTAACCATTTCAGTAACAATGTTACATACACTTAACATAGACAAAGATGGATCTTTTTCTTTTCCTTTTACATGTTTACATATACATAGATATAGGTGCACATAGATTCACCTATATAATGTAACACTTATAGTAATACCAAAATATAGAACAACTATGATAAAACACTAGAATCTTAAACAGTAGAATCATTCAATGAACTGTGTTGTGCTTATTCTTTAAATTAAACTCAGCACCATGACTGTTAACATGCAACCAGTGGAATTGGTTTATACCATCAAGGTAAGCCTTATGGGCTAAACCGTACTGGAGGCTTGATGGTGCGTTCAGGATAGCGCTTAGCCTCTTTGTGTGGAGTGTGTAACACCACCTCATTGTCCCTAGTGGCTGAATCTTCTGATTGTGCTAATCCTGTTGGAATTTGATCAAGACTAGGACGTGATGTCTCTCCTGAGATCGGATGTTCACACAAATCTGTCAGATTCCCCTCAGGAACTTCAATGGTCTCTGGACCAATCTCATCTCCATTGTCGCAATCATCCTGATGTGCCAAAATTTGATCAACATGACGCCTCCAATGAACTGAAAGTCCTACATCGACAGTGTATGATACTGGGCCTGTCTTTGCTGACACCACACCAGGCATCCACTTCTTTCCTCGCCGATAATCATGAACTAATACCTTGTCACCCACTGCAAATGTTCTTTCTTTCGCATGAACTTGACGTCGCTCACACAGTTTGCCTTGAGCTTTTTCGACCACAGAGGCAACATTTGGCTTCAGCAGATCAAAGCGAGATCGCAGTCTACGATGTAGAAACAACATAGCAGGTGACTCCTTTGTGGTGGCGTGCGGGATGTTACGGTATGCCAGTAGAAAGGTGTCCAACCTTTGTTGAATGGAAGTTGATCCTTTGGAACAACGTAAAGCCCGCTTTACTGTCTGAACCATGCATTCCGCCAAGCCATTAGTAGCTGGGTGAAAAGGTGCAGTACGTGTGTGTGTCACTCCATTGGTCTTGAGAAATGTCTGGAACTCCTTGGAGGTGAACTGAGGACCGTTATCACTAACCAGCACTTCTGGGAGTCCATAACGACTGAACAGTGTCCTCAGCACTTGAATGGTCTTAGTAGATGTAGTTGAATCCATCACACACACCTCGGGCCACTTGGAGTGAGCATCTACTACCACCAGATACATGTGTCCTTCAAATGGACCTGCGAAGTCCACATGTATGCGTTGCCACGTTGACTCTGGCCATTTCCACAGGTTGTGCGTGGTGTTTCGGTATGCCAGTAGAAAGGTGTCCAACCTTTGTTGAATGGAAGTTGACCCTTTTGAACAACGTAAAGCCCGCTTTACTGTCTGAACCATGCGTTCCGCCAAGCCATTCGTAGCTGGGTGAAAAGGTGCAGAACGTGTGTGTGTGTGACGCCCGCTTTACTGTCTGAACCATGCGTTCCGCCAAGCCATTCGTAGCTGGGTGAAAAGACCCTGGATCTCAGCTTAGAAGGAATGACCACCCTCCAGCCCCACATGAGGCAACCTTGCTGCGTAGTCGGTTCATCCTTCCTGTACACATATGGGGCAAGCACATTATTTGCATCCGTGACATTTGGAAAACGTCCAGTTGCCACCATCTCCATTACTTGTGACAGAATGGGATCAGCCCTTGTCTCTTTACAGACATCTGCACACAGTACTGGTAGAGCATCCAGCTGTTTTACTTGAAGTAACTCCACCGTGTCCAACTTAACTTGAGGTGCGGTTGGCAGCGGTAATCGTGATAACCCATCCGCATTGCAGTGGTGTGCACCATCTCTGTACTGGATATCGTAATCATAGGCTGCCAACAACAAAGCCCAGTGTTGCAACCGAGCTGCAGCCATGGATGGAATGGCTTTTGTTGGACTGAAGATGGTTGTCAACGGACGGTGATCTGTAAACAAAGTAAACTTCCGCCCGTACAGATATTGGTAAAATTTCCGTACTCCAAAAATAATACCAAGTGCCTCTCTTTCAATTCGAGCATAATTTTGCTCTGCTTTACTTAATGTTCTTGAGGCAAAGGCAATTGGTTTTTCATGTCCGTGCGGGAGGATGTGCGAGATGACAGCGCCAACACCGTATGGTGATGCATCACAGGCCAGTCTGATTGGTAACTGTGGGTTGTAGTGTGTCAACACACTCTGTGACAGTAACAGGTTTTTCGCCTTATCGAATGCATCTTCACACTCCTGAGACCACAGCCACTGTTTTCCTTTGCACAGAAGAGCATTGAGAGGGGCTAACACTGATGCCAGATTAGGGATAAATCGACTGTAGTAATTTTAAAGTCCCAGAAATTAACGAAGTTGTGTGACGTTCTTTGGTGCAGGTGCATCCATGATTGCCCTGACCTTTTCAGGTGACTTATGAAGACCCTGAGCATCAATGATATGCCCCAAGTACTCCAGCGAGTCTTTAAAGAACTCACACTTCTCACGCTGGACACATAGCCCAAATTCATCCAGACGACTGAGGACTGCATCCACATTTTTGAGATGTTGCTCGTCATCTGACCCAGTCACTAATATATCGTCTAGGTAGCAGTGCACGATAGGGAGGCCTTGTAAAATCTGATCCATTGCCCTTTGGAAAATTGCAGGTGCCGTTGCAATCTTCCCAAATTCGCAGTGTTCACTCAGCTTTTTCAGAACTGCGACATACTGTGCTACTGTCTCTGTTTTGTGCTGACTGCGGTTATGAAACCTAAATCTTTCAGCAATAACGATCGGTTTCGGTGAGAAATGGTATTTCAAAACAGTCACAATGTCATCATATGACTTCGCACTCGGCTTATCTGAGGCGATTAAGCTCCGCAGCAGGCCGTATGTAGATGAATCCATTACACTCAGCAACACCGCGACTTGTTTCTCATCTGCAATGTCGTTTGCAGAAACAAATTGTTCAAACCTTTCTATGTAGGTAGCCCACTGTTCAGCGGACTCATCAAAGGCATCCATATGACCGATAAACACAGCCATTTCGTCGGGTGTTGTTCCACGAGTTCACTATACATCCAATCAAATAATGCAGTAGCCAGACAAATCAGGCGTTCAAAAAAAAACAATCCTCGTTACCAATATGTTATATCTTATCTGTTATATAACATGAATAATACGCTGAGACGAGTGCGGTGTCAACTCTCTTCTAATTTACTGAGAACTCTGAAGTCTTTTTCTTCATTGATAACATACACACGGGAGTGATCTTGAGCGCCTCCTAGTGCGCTGAAACATTAAGCGCATACATCACGTAAATATGCTAACGCACGCAGTGGTTTCTGCCGACGAGTTTGTATTAACTCATAAAAATGTTTTCGTTCTGTCTGTGCCCGGTGAATCCTCCCAATCTGGATTAGAAAAGAACCCCGAAACATGTTAAAACGACTCCGTCGAGTCTAAAGCCCTATTCGGACGGGACTAGTTTTCTAAACTACGTTTGAGTTTCGATTCTTATCACCTGACGTCTGCAATTTTCATGTACCAATTCGGATGGGACTAACATCTCCGTGTTTATTACAGAGGTGGGACGGTCTGTTTTGTACATCTGGGCGTCACGGAGATCACACGCTCTGTATGCGTGTATTGCGTATAGTCATTCGGATTGATTACCATTTAGTATAATCAGTTTTACTACAAATACCATGGTGAAGCTAAATGGCTAGTAGCAAAACCATGCTAATGTGTGGTGACTTTAGTTTAACTTTTTTTTAGTATATTGTTTATTTTAAAATTTTTAAAGAAAAGGCTATCAATAGCCCTATTCGGACGGGACTAGTTTTCTAAACTACGTTTGAGTTTCGATTCTTATCACCTGACGTCTGCAATTTTCATGTACCAATTCGGATGGGACTAACATCTCCGTGTTTATTACAGAGGTGGGACGGTCTGTTTTGTACATCTGGGCGTCACGGAGATCACACGCTCTGTATGCGTGTATTGCGTATAGTCATTCGGATTGATTACCATTTAGTCCCCAAATAAGTCGGCTACATTTTAAAATTGTGACTGCTACTCTTACCCAAGGATGGATGTTTAAACTTAAACATAGAATAATAATAAAAATGAAAATTCACTTAAAAAGGTTAATAATTAAGAAGTGATGCTGACAAGCTTATGATTGAATTAGCTCACAATTATGATCTCTGCTTCATGTGTAACGGAAGAGGTCTGATGCAACAGGTTAGTATAACAATCAAGTTTATTTGGTCACAGAGAGTATGGGTGTAGGATCCTGGTGATGACACGGTGAGTGTATAGTTCGTAGAACAGTTTAAAGGATATGATGAGTGGAATGATTAGAGTCCTTTCCTTTACCGGAGCTGGAATGCACACGGAAGAGCACACACGGATTGGTGACAGGTGTAGGTGCTCAGTACTCAGGTGATAGAGATCGTTGTGATTGGGTGGTGGTGGAGCCTGGCCGATCTGTTACACTGGCTCTTGATTTTATTATTATTTTATTTTATTTTTTTAATTTTCTTCGCCGGGAGGCAAATATATCAAACATGCGTGTGGTAATAGCATCTACGGTAATTCACGTTGGCCAAAACACACAAGGAAAAAAAATATCACCGGCAATCACAGACATTCGCATTCGGATGGGATTAGTTTTCTCAGAGGATCACTGAGTTTGCTGAAGAACAGTAGGTAATTTGCTCTGGAATTATTACAGCGGTTGTGTGAGAAAAAAACACAGACGTGGCAGATTCGGACGGGATTAAAATCACCAAGTACATCTGTGAAACACAAATTTCTCTAACGAGCCCCTGTAAAACTAGTCCCGTCCGAATAGGGATTATGTCAAGCACGTGAATGCTTCTATTGTCATGAGACTGGCCATCTCATTGCTGTTTGCCCAGTTCTGAGAAGGAAAAACCAGTCTCCTAAACGTCAGGGCCCAAAGAGCATTGGTTTTGCTCGCATTACAGGTCCGCAAATTGGTTTGGACGGAGTTGATGTACAGTGCACAGCATAAATGAGTACACCCCCTCTGAATAAATATAAAAGATGTATTTTCTTAATGATCACTAATATAATTCATGGAAGGATGGCAAAATTGAAACATATTAAACATAAAATTTGATAAAAAATTAGCCTTCCTATTACGAGGTGATATTTGACTGCTTAAAGTGATTTACAGTGGAAATTTGTTTTTACCTTTGTAGTGGCATTTTTCTAACTTTATTAAAAGTATGTCATCTTTTATGTCAAGCGTCATACTCTGTGAGATAAAGTGTCACTCTTTTCACAGCTTTTGCCGGCTCTGAGACACTTGCATGTTATTTCTCCTGCTCTTTTTCTAGCAAAAACTCACTCATCACTAAATGAAAACTTAAAGTGAAGACCTGATTATTTCAGGAGCCTTATCACAAGTCCATTGTTTTTGAATGTTGGTGCCACTTCTGCTATATTTCAACACTTAAAATAATAATTTGGTATTCCTCTTGTACCACTGTCCTCTTTTATGCTAAGACATAAGTCACCTGGCAGTTCTCTCTCAAGTGGTTCCACTGCTGCCAGCATTAAGTCTGAGTATGATTCAGTGGGTTATATAACGCTTTTAATTGTCAGGAAATTACTTGTCTTTAAAAGTTTTGGTTCAGTATACTTACTTGTTGTTAAAAAATAGCCTTAAACCTATACACTTTTTTTAGTTTTATTTAGTAACTTTCAGGAGGGTGTACTCATTTTTGCAACACAACATTTTATCACTGATAAGAAAAGCTTATTTTGCTGAATAATTTTGGCATTCTTCTTTGGTAATTGATCAAGCAGGCTTGTTGGAGCATTACGTCTCCAAAGAACCCTAACATGTCTTCTAAGTAAAGAGTAATTGCTGAATTTGTTAAGTTTTAGAGGGGGTGTACTCATGTAGGATATAACCCGTTTGTTACTAAGGGCATCATTTCACTTACCAGTCAAGAGGAAAGCAAAGTTCCTGTTCGTATTCTTTGTGATACTGGGTCGAGCCAGTCGTTCGTGTGCAGCAATATGTTGCCTTTTTCATACGATTCATATTGTTGTTCTGATGTATTGGTTCAGGGGATTGAATTTGGAATAGTGAGAGTCCCTTTACATTGTGTGAAGATCCACCAAGCCACACTGGCAGAGTTTTTTGTCCCCAGTAAAGGAATGATCACATTCAGTCCTCAATTGAATAAATACAAGAACTTTTGATCTCAGTTCACCTAACAAATGAATCTGTGCAGTGATATTGTTAAAGTTCACTTTTTAATATGAAAATAAAGACAAGACAAAATATGCACAGAGGACACAGACATAAATTACAGTAACTTTACAGGCCACAAGGAACACAACTTGACAATGACCACAAGAAACACAAGTAAGTTAAAACAAAAGACATGGAGGTAATCGAGTAAGAATACTGGAAAAAGGAACACGCTAGAACTACAAACTAAAGGTCACATAACAAAAGCACAGAGACACAAAACAAGTACAACATTGCATGTCAATGTACATTAGCTACCTATGTTTCAGTTATGCACATAATCATTCCTAGTGTAGTACTGAGGCTCCATTACAGTTTTGACAGTGCCAGTCATCCTCACCAAAAATGGCATTTGCAGGTATGTTTACACAGGTGGGATGATACTATCCATTGCACAATGAACACTGCATCGTGATTTCTTTGTGTGCAGTCCTGTACACACAGTACACACTGACAGGGGTTTGCCCAAAATTGGCTTTGCCCGGTGTTGGCGCTATTTTGAATCATACCTGAATCACCTCACTGATTCTTGAGAAGTGGGACAAAACAGGGTGCAATATTGAGAAAAATAAAACCTTGTACTCAGTACATGTAAGACACAAAATTTTTTTTTTTTTTTTGTCTAAGCTACTGAGCTATGCTTTGATTCAACCTCCCAACTTTTCTTTTTTTATCAAAATGTGCTTTTACCTTGCCATCACTTATTTTGCAATCAGGCAATCAAGATGTTTTTAACATTTCAAAAAAACATTCTCATGTTAGCAGACAGATTACATTTGTACATGTGACCAACAGTTCCTCAACAAATATAAAATGTCATAATTAAATATATTCAAAATATTCATCCGACAGAGTTGACGCATCTGACAGTGGTGACGAAAACCTGAATTTGTAATAATTTAAACTATCAAATACATTGAATAAATCAATTACTGTATTAAAACAAACACAACAAACAGTCAGGCGCGCAGATGGCACTAGGGACGGGGGGGACATGACCCCCCCAGTTTCATAGTGACTCGATCCATCCCCCTCACTGTCTCTATGAAAGGTGACATCGGTAAACAGAGGATTAATCAGGGTTTCCGCTATGTACATTAGCCAAAGTAGTGGCGACCCAGCCCGCCGCTCCTTAAATGTGCACTAAGCGATTTTTGAAAAACGCTTTTGACCACAGTGTCTGACCAAGACACACTTGTAGCCAATCAGCAGTAAGTGTCACTTTTGAAAAAAAAAAGAAGAAAAAAAGGGGGGGGAAGTCGTGGCCTATTGGTTAGAGAGTCAGACTCATATGAGCAAGGCACCGAACCCCCAACTGCTCCCCGGGCGCCGCAGCAAAAAATGGCTACCCACTGCTGTGTGTGTTCACTGCTGTGTGTGTTCACTTTGGATGGGATAAATGCAGAGCACTAATTCCGAGTATGGGTCACCATACTTGGCCACATGTCACGTCAGTAAGGGGCATGTCTTGTCCTGCTAGAGAGAAGAGAGTGCTCAGTTTGAGTGCACAGGATGCATATTAGCAGATCTACTACAGATAGAGAGATGGCAAATAAAAAAAAAGAGGAAAATATCAGAGAAACAAAACATTAAAAAGAAAGGTCACAATCAGGCAAGAGGTAGGACCCGCGTAAATATCGGAGCAGCTTTCCAGAGGTTGTGCTGCTTTTTGATAGGTGAGTAACGTTGATTTTGCTTATCTGTGTTGGCTTTTGTTTGAAAATGCTTGTGTGTCATCTTCACTTGTTTC